GATACGACTATAATAAAATATATTTAATATTTTTATTATTTTCAACCAGCTTAATAATTATATATATTAGTAGTTTTTTAATATACAATAAGGGAAATTAATAAATTTTTTTAGTTTCAAAAAAATACATATCGTATTGTTGTAGTATATTCACAAAGTGAAATGACTAATTAAAGAAATCAAAACTAATATCTATCTAGTATTTAGAAGTAATTTTTGCTAAGATAATAATGTAATAATTTTATTTTATATTTTTTTGACATATAATTGTAGATAATACTTAAGAAACACTCATGTGTCTTTAAAGTAATATGAATTTTTTATTTATATATTATATGATATATGAATTCGAAAAGAGATGTTAAAAACTCAATTTAAAAATTATATATGTTGCTCGACTACAAAAATATTCGTGAAATATTTTAATATTTAATTATTATTGAATACGTAGAATATATATTCAATATATATCTTCGAATATTCAACGTGTATCATATCTAATACAATATTAGATACCAGTATATCAATTTCAACAAAGTCTCCGTGCCACATAGCTGTTAAGCGTTGCGGAGCCAATTCTGCAGTGCCGTGCTTTAGATGTACTCAAAGCTGCAATTGCATTATTTGTGTGCATGCTTGTCTACTGCTTTTCTTTTTTCTTGACAGCACAAACAATTTGCACTCGACATGCTCAATTGAGCATATTACAACATCAATGCAGAGTCTCTCTCTCTCTCTCTCGTGTACCCAACCTAGGAACATTTAACCTTAACTTTCTTCCTTTTGCATTACAACCCGGCCCCCCTCCCCCCTTCTCTTCCTCCTTCAGGATGTAATGGTTGGTAGGGTAAAATGCAAAATCATGCTTCTTCAAGGCAAAACCCATTGGTCATGGTTCATGGTTCCGATTTCGTTATAATATCATCTTTTACCGTAAAATTTCTCATGCTATTCCATTTGTGTTAGAACCATTTGTGTTAGAAAACTATGGTGCTATATTTTAACGAGGCAACAACCCTTTTCATCAACATTAGCCAATCTTCGCAGTTTTTGAATTGTCAATCAAAGAATTGGAATGAGAGAGGCTCAAACTCTAGACAACAAAGATCGTTTAGAATCAGATTCAAATGTTAAAAACATTAAACGAGTAATTAATAGGTGGATTACATTGCCCACAAAACATAAAGCTATTTTATATCCTTGTTAAATGAAAATTATGAGATTCGAATCCCGACACCCATTNAAAACATTAAACGAGTAATTAATAGGTGGATTACAATGCCCACAAAACATAAAACTATTTTATATCCTTGTTAAATGAAAATTATGAGATTCGAATCCCGACACCCATTTCATTACATCCCCATGATTACACAAATAACATCAAACACAATGTTTTCATCCACAAAAACAACTATACGATGTTATTTTTGTGATCAATCAGCAACTGCCCAAGTCATGTCATTCTCAAAGATCCAATGGCAGACCTCAATGAGACCAGGGCCCGACCCTAGGGCCACAAAAGCTCCATGCCCTGGGCTCCATGCTGATGTGTCAACGTGACAAATGGCAATACCATGATTGATCTTAACCTTGCTCTCTACGTCAAGAATGTCTGCCACGTAGACCCTCACTTTTGGTACAGAGTGGCAATAATATAGTAAGTACGGGTACAAACTCTGGTGGCAGGACACTGATTTGGTCACTTCTCCGCCGTTCATTCCTCTAACTTTTCCAATCATCACATTTTGGTTTGACCCATTTACATTTTCCGTGGTCCGCACCACCACATTGTGGCCCAATACCGCGACCGCGAAGTCGATCATGTCCTCCACCGATCCCACGCACTGCTTGGTCTCGCCCCGGCTCGGCTCACGCTCGCACTCCTCCACCGTGTTTGATATCATGCGCTCCATTGCGGTGTTATCCCGTGCGTTGAAGATTTGCTTAATCTCCCCTAGTCGAGTGGTTGAAAATGGTAAATTTGACATAATTGTCCGGGGCAAAAACGACCTTTTAGGCATTTTGTCACGAATATCTGGCATTTTCATGATAATTCCCTCTTTCAACATGGACTCTCGGAAAAATTTGCCCTGTTCCACCCATCTATTTACGGAATTGCCACTTACCTTCGTGGATTCGTCCATGGAGGAGTTTTCTGAACTGGTGTACTGAGCAAAAGTGACACCCTTTTGATCATACTCTTTGAATGTACTGTTCAATCCATAAACCTTGAACCCAATCACTTCACTAGTCGATCCTTTTCCATATTCCCTGAAAAAATCGATTCCTTCGTTGAAAGATTTTCCATAATTCAGAAAATTTGTTTTCCCGGAATTTGAATTCTTCCCATAAGATTGAAACTTATCACTTCCTGAATTGGCTCCATCTCTGTAACTAGAGAAGCTATCAACTCCAGAATTGCCTCCAACGCCATAGCTTTTAAAATTGTTGTTTGGGTTATTGGAATTTGAACTATAAGCCTTAAACGAATCATTACCGGCGTTACCCAACTCGCCGTAGCCGGAGAACGACGACCCAATAACGTTTGATGAATCGCCATAGCTGGAAAACTCAACAGGGACGTCATTACCATTCTTACCATAGCTTGTAAAGCCTTCGTTTCCTGAGTTTGTATCGTCAACATAGCTTGAAAATGAGAGCTTATGATTGTTACCGTCGGAATCGTAAGAAGTGAAGCGGAGGTCCGGGACGTTGACGAGAGACATGTATGTTTGGAACTCTCCGGAGCCACCAGTGGCGCCGGAAGCGTAGGAGGTGAAGTTGGAATTGGCTACATTGCCGTCGTTAGCATAGGTGGCGAAGCCTTCTTTATGGGCTGTGGAGCTTCGGCTGTAGCGAGTGAAACTACCGGTGGCGAAGTTGACAGAGCCCGAGTAGTTCTTGAACGTATCTGCGCCGCCGAGTCGAGACCTTACGTAGTTGGAGAATTGTTTGTTGGTGTAAAAGGCGAAGTTGGCGTCTTTGTTGTCTTGTTTGTTTGGATCGATTGGGGTGGTGGAGTCGAAGTCGAAAAGACAGAATAAATTGGCGGCGGAGCAGAAAGAGGAGAGGTGGGAAGAGAGGTGGTTGTGGGCGGCGAGTTTGGTGAAAAAGGCGGAGTCGACGGCGGAGAGAGGGGAGGCTTTCGAGAGTAGAAATGGTGGCTTGGGGTGGTTGTTGGTGATGTGTTTGTTCCAATATCTAATCACATAAGCCTTGGCAGTAAATGGGTTTTCTTTTNGGAGAGAGGGGAGGCTTTCGAGAGTAGAAATGGTGGCTTGGGGTGGTTGTTGGTGATGTGTTTGTTCCAATATCTAATCACATAAGCCTTGGCAGTAAATGGGTTTTCTTTTGGGGCCGAGTCTCCTGGAGTTGTATTTGTCAAAACCAATGAAACCTGCATGCAAGGGAGAGAGAGAGAGAGAGAGAAGTAACTAGTAAATTAGGCATATATAGAAGCTAATGTCACTAGCTACAAGCTAAAAGGAAGTGAAAGAAGGTGCTTACAGTACTGAAAGATTTGTCTAATAAAAACAAGAGGAAGAAGAGAATACTTCTGCTGAACTTCACTGTTCTGTTCATTTTCTCCTCTTACTCTGCTGTGAGAGAGAGAGAGAACCAATGACTACGATAGAATGTTTTCTGAGAGACAGGCATATAAGTAAGAGAAATTTCTTTTTTTCTTGAATTTTTTAATAATAATATTATTCAGATTTAAAAATCTCACGTTGACCATGCCGTTTTAATAGAACCATTTGATAAGAGTAAATTTCAATGTTTGGCAAGCCCAAAAGCAATCCAAAAATAATGATGAACCAAATCAATAAACNAAGTTGACAACTCTATATCCAATTAAAAATATTTTGAAAGTAAATTTTTATAAAAAATTTAGTTGTATCTCGAGACTATCAAGTAAATAGTAAGACTCTTAAGCTATGAAGCACGAATACAGGTACGATACGATACGGATACGGTGATACAACAAAGTCNTAAAAAATTTAGTTGTATCTCGAGACTATCAAGTAAATAGTAAGACTCTTAAGCTATGAAGCACGAATACAGGTACGATACGATACGGATACGGTGATACAACAAAGTCTAAAAAAGTAGAATACGAGTACGGTTAAGATACGACTATAATAAAATATATTTAATATTTTTATTATTTTTAACAAGCTTAATAATTATATATATTAGTAGTTTTTTAATATAAAATAAGGGAAATTAATAAATTTTTTTAGTTTCAAAAAAATACATATCGTATTGTTGTAGTATATTCACAAAGTGAAATGACTAATTAAAGAAATCAAAACTAATATCTATCTAGTATTTAGAAGTAATTTTTGCTAAGATAATAATGTAATAACTTTATTTTATATTTTTTTGACATATAATTGTAGATAATACTTAAGAAACACTCACGTGTCTTTAAAGTAATATGAATTTTTTATTTATATATTATATGATATATGAATTCGAAAAGAGATGTTAAAAACTCAATTTAAAAATTATATATGTTGCTCGACTACAAAAATATTCGTGAAATATTTTAATATTTAATTATTATTGAATACGTAGAATATATATTCAATATGTATCTTTGAATATTCAACGTGTATCATATCTAATACAATATTAGATACCAGTATATCAATTTCAACAAAGTCTCCGTGCCACATAGCTGTTAAGCGTTGCGGAGCCAATTCTGCAGTGCCGTGCTTTAGATGTACTCAAAGCTGCAATTGCATTATGTGTGTGCATGCTTGTCTACTGCTTTTCTTTTTTCTTGACAGCACAAACAATTTGCACTCGACATGCTCAATTGAGCATATTACAACATCAATGCAGAGTCTCTCTCTCTCTCTCTCGTGTACCCAACCTAGGAACATTTAACCTTAACTTTCTTCCTTTTGCATTACAACCCGGCCCCCCTCCCCCCTTCTCTTCCTCCTTCAGGATGTAATGGTTGGTAGGGTAAAATGCAAAATCATGCTTCTTCAAGGCAAAACCCATTGGTCATGGTTCATGGTTCCGATTTCGTTATAATATCATCTTTTACCGTAAAATTTCTCATGCTATTCCATTTGTGTTAGAACCATTTGTGTTAGAAAACTATGGTGCTATATTTTAACGAGGCAACAACCCTTTTCATCAACATTAGCCAATCTTCGCAGTTTTTGAATTGTCAATCAAAGAATTGGAATGAGAGAGGCTCAAACTCTAGACAACAAAGATCGTTTAGAATCAGATTCAAATGTTAAAAACATTAAACGAGTAATTAATAGGTGGATTACATTGCCCACAAAACATAAAGCTATTTTATATCCTTGTTAAATGAAAATTATGAGATTCGAATCCCGACACCCATTTCATTACATCCCCATGATTACACAAATAACATCAAACACAATGTTTTCATCCATAAAAATAACTATACGATGTTATTTTTGTGATCAATCAGCAACTGCCCAAGTCATGTCATTCTCAAAGATCCAATGGCAGACCTCAATGAGACCAGGGCCCGACCCTAGGGCCACAAAAGCTCCATGCCCTGGGCTCCATGCTGATGTGTCAACGTGACAAATGGCAATACCATGATTGATCTTAACCTTGCTCTCTACGTCAAGAATGTCTGCCACGTAGACCCTCACTTTTGGTACAGAGTGGCAATAATATAGTAAGTACGGGTACAAACTCTGGTGGCAGGACACTGATTTGGTCACTTCTCCGCCGTTGATTCCTCTAACTTTTCCAATCATCACATTTTGGTTTGACCCATTTACATTTTCCGTGGTCCGCACCACCACATTGTGGCCCAATACCGCGACCGCGAAGTCGATCATGTCCTCCACCGATCCCACGCACTGCTTGGTCTCGCCCCGGCTCGGCTCACGCTCGCACTCCTCCACCGTGTTTGATATCATGCGCTCCATGGCGGTGTTATCCCGTGCGTTGAAGATTTGCTTAATCTCCCCTAGTCGAGTGGTTGAAAATGGTAAATTTGACATAATTGTCCGGGGCAAAAACGACCTTTTAGGCATTTTGTCACGAATATCTGGCATTTTCATGATAATTCCCTCTTTCAACATGGACTCTCGGAAAAATTTGCCCTGTTCCACCCATCTATTTACGGAATTGCCACTTACCTTCGTGGATTCGTCCATGGAGGAGTTTTCTGAACTGGTGTACTGAGCAAAAGTGACACCCTTTTGATCATACTCTTTGAATGTACTGTTCAATCCATAAACCTTGAACCCAATCACTTCACTAGTCGATCCTTTTCCATATTCCCTGAAAAAATCGATTCCTTCGTTGAAAGATTTTCCATAATTCAGAAAATTTGTTTTCCCGGAATTTGAATTCTTCCCATAAGATTGAAACTTATCACTTCCTGAATTGGCTCCATCTCTGTAACTAGAGAAGCTATCAACTCCAGAATTGCCTCCAACGCCATAGCTTTTAAAATTGTTGTTTGGGTTATTGGAATTTGAACTATAAGCCTTAAACGAATCATTACCGGCGTTACCCAACTCGCCGTAGCCGGAGAACGACGACCCAATAACGTTTGATGAATCGCCATAGCTGGAAAACTCAACAGGGACGTCATTACCATTCTTACCATAGCTTGTAAAGCCTTCGTTTCCTGAGTTTGTATCGTCAACATAGCTTGAAAATGAGAGCTTATGATTGTTACCGTCGGAATCGTAAGAAGTGAAGCGGAGGTCCGGGACGTTGACGAGAGACATGTATGTTTGGAACTCTCCGGAGCCACCAGTGGCGCCGGAAGCGTAGGAGGTGAAGTTGGAATTGGCTACATTGCCGTCGTTAGCATAGGTGGCGAAGCCTTCTTTATGGGCTGTGGAGCTTCGGCTGTAGCGAGTGAAACTACCGGTGGCGAAGTTGACAGAGCCCGAGTAGTTCTTGAACGTATCTGCGCCGCCGAGTCGAGACCTTACGTAGTTGGAGAATTGTTTGTTGGTGTAAAAGGCGAAGTTGGCGTCTTTGTTGTCTTGTTTGTTTGGATCGATTGGGGTGGTGGAGTCGAAGTCGAAAAGACAGAATAAATTGGCGGCGGAGCAGAAAGAGGAGAGGTGGGAAGAGAGGTGGTTGTGGGCGGCGAGTTTGGTGAAAAAGGCGGAGTCGACGGCGGAGAGAGGGGAGGCTTTCGAGAGTAGAAATGGTGGCTTGGGGTGGTTGTTGGTGATGTGTTTGTTCCAATATCTAATCACATAAGCCTTGGCAGTAAATGGGTTTTCTTTTGGGGCCGAGTCTCCTGGAGTTGTATTTGTCAAAACCAATGAAACCTGCATGCGAGAGAGAGAGAGAGAGAAGTAACTAGTAAATTAGGCATATATAGAAGCTAATGTCACTAGCTACAAGCTAAAAGGAAGTGAAAGAAGGTGCTTACAGTACTGAAAGATTTGTCTAATAAAAACAAGAGGAAGAAGAGAATACTTCTGCTGAACTTCACTGTTCTGTTCATTTTCTCCTCTTACTCTGCTGTGAGAGAGAGAGAGAACCAATGACTACGATAGAATGTTTTCTGAGAGACAGGCATATAAGTAAGAGAAATTTCTTTTTTTCTTGAATTTTTTAATAATAATATTATTCAGATTTAAAAATCTCACGTTGACCATGCCGTTTTAATAGAACCATTTGATAAGAGTAAATTTCAATGTTTGGCAAGCCCAAAAGCAATCCAAAAATAATGATGAACCAAATCAATAAACAAGATCAATTTTTAAATTCAAATAGTATTATTTATTTTTTAAAAATAAAACTGTTTCGATCAAGAGAAAATATTTATTACAAAAGTGATACTACGTGACAATATCTTATTTATTAAAATATTTTATTATTAATTAATGATACCATGTCAATATTACTTAAATTTTATCACCATTTTATTCAATATTTACTCATCGATCATCTTTCTTTTTTTTCCCTATTTTTCACGGTATATTGAACTCATCATTCACCATCATTGTCAATTATCAATCCCGTAATTCGAGTGAGGTTGTCATGAAACAAATTGATAGTTAGACTGTTTGAAATTTAGGACTCAACTATGGTACTGTAAAAAAAATTCCGTATCATATCTCTAAAATTTATTATTTCAAAGTATACTTTTATAAGTTTTGTAGGTTATTTAATAAACAAAATATTTATCACTTTTGTAGTTGATTTATCACTTTTATGGATACTTTTACCATTATTTGAGGTATTTTTACTACATTGGTGATAACTATTTTTACCATGTTTCTTAAATACAAAAAAAATTATCACTTTTGTGATTGATTTAAAATATTTGTGGGTGTTTTTACAACATTTATGAATATTTTTACCACTATTGTGATAAATATTTTTACCATTTTTTGGGATATCACAACAATGGTAAAATTATCCACAAATGTGATAAAAACTACTACAAATGTGATAAATCTCCGTAGATGTACCGTAATCTACTCCTTGAATTTATGGCTATTATGTTATTCTCAAGTGATGAAGTATTAATAAAAAGTTCACCAATTATCGTCATAAATTATATTAATTTTTAAGATTCAAATAACAATATTCATAAATAATTTGAATCAATTAAATCCAAGTATTATATGATAAACCCGTAGAAGAACTCGAACTTAGGACAAATAGATCTACATTACACCTCCATTCGTGCAGTTTTCTATTTTTTCAAAAAAAAAATTCTTCTTTTGTACTTGTTTCAAATTTTGCTTGAGCAGTAGTTTTGCACTTTTTTTTATCAACACACAAAAAAAAAATAATTATGCATATTTTGAACATTTTTCGGTACATTTTCATATGTTAGAGAGAGAGAGAGAGTCTCTATGTCTTCCATGGTATGTTTTCTAGAAAATACTATGAATACTAAAATTTTACTAAAAAATATTTTTATCGAATGAGTGAACACTCTACATCATTCTTAGACCTATCAAATGTTGATCAAAATATTTTTGATTGAATACAGAGTTGTCAACTCATTTGATAAAAATATTTTTTGGTAAGCATAGCATTACTCGTGTTTTGTAAGAGAAAAATGTAAAAATAAATGTGAGAGAAATCTTTCTTTTTTATTTTTTTAGAGTTCTTTTACTTTAGGCAATTTTTTCTTGATAAAGCAGACGAATTTATTTACTGGAATAGTTCCACAGATTCTCAATATATGCTAATTTATTGTCAAAAAGATCAAAAAGAAACTGATTCTGAGTTGAAAGTTACAAAAACGAATAAGACAATACAATACAACCCACATAGAGCTTTAGATTAGATTCTCTCTCTTTTCTTTTCTTTTCTTTTCTTCTCTCTTTTCTTTTCTTTTCTTTTCTTCTTATTGTTCAATGGTGAGTGTTTGGGTCTTCTTACATGTACTTTGATTAATCTTTTCCTAACCCCGATCTTGTCAGAAGCAAACAATTTACGCTAAGATTAGAGTATTTAAAATAAATCTTATCTAGTTCAAAGTGCTTTCATTTTTAACCCAGTCTCATTGAAGAAAGTAAACATGTGTATACCAAATTATAATGATATATTAAATCCACAAATCGAAATAACAAATTAGACTTAGAATAGTATTTACCGTAGAGTTGAAAAATCAAGACCGGAAACAAGTTGCAGCATGGGGAGTTCTGAAAAAGAGGTTCTTTTTTAAGAGGACCACATTATCAGTTGTCATAAATCTTACTCATGCGCAAGAAACAAGACTTCAGAGTTCAGAGAACAGGGAACTGCTGACCCACATTCCCATAGAACACGAAGACCAAAGGACAAGACAGATCATTTGTAGGAGACAGGAAATAACAAAAATCAAGAAAATTAGGTCTGTTCTATTTACATTTTAAGAAATAGTATTCAAAAAAAAATTTGACAAACGTTTTAAAAAATTATTTTTTATATATTTTGTGTCTTAAAATTTATTTAATTGTATGATTTCAAAAAGAGTTCTACGGAAAAGAAAACATTAAAACTTATTTAAACAATAACATAAAAATAATGAAAACAAAAATATAATTATGGTCATGATGCTGGTGAAAGTGTGGTGGCAGTAGTTGTGGTGGTAGAAGTGTGGTAGTGGTGTGGTGAACGTGGTGGTGGCAGAAGGAGACAGGAAATAACATAAACAAGGAAAATTAGGTCCATTTAATTTACATCTTAAAACATAGTATTCGAAAATCATTTTTAAGAAAATTTTTATAGGATTTCAGTACAACGACTTATACCGTCAGTGAGGTAATATAAACACCAAAACTCATTGAAAGAGTTTGAAATTGAACTAACCTATCGTAGTTGTCGAAAGGAAAAATAGAAAAACAAATAAGTGAGCCACAATCATGAAAGTGAAGAAGAAAAAAAAAGCAAAAACGAGAGAGAACATATTTTCAGAGAGCTACCACCTGAACACAAAACTGTCCAAAATCCATAGGACAAGTGCCACAACTGCCAAGCAATAAGTTATTTTCAGAGAGCTACCACCTGAACACAAAACTGTCCAAAATCCAAAGGACAAGTGCCATAAATGCCAAGCAAAAAGTACCGCAAATAACAATGCTCCACGAGTGCAACTTTGAAACTCTTAAGAGAACAATCATTACGAAAGTTCTATTCGGGTATCATCTGCTCATTGTCTGCATCTCCTTCTTGTTCAATGGTAGGCTTTGATGGAGCTTGGGACCCAGGAGCTTCCTTCTTTTTGATTCCACTCACAATGTCATCAATTCTAAGAAGCATACATGCAGCTTCAATGGCCGTCTTAAAGGTTTGTGCCTTAACATTATAAGCATCCCAGATCTGAAAACATATGAGAAGAGTGGGAAATTTGATGGCATTGTGAGGTGTCAGAAAGAAGACGAATGGAAACAACAGTCGTAAACCCTTAAAGAACACACAAACATGAGTCAAAAGGAGAACATAGGAGAATTATTTTACCTTTTGCTCCTTCATATCTGTAATTGCACCAGTATTCCCATCTATACCAATCCAAGCGTTTTCACCATTTGCATGCTGTTGAAGAAGTAAAGAAATACGATTATTAAACAAAACAATTCAATAACTCATGAAAGAAATCACAAACTTCATTTCTCAAAGTTTAGGCATTTCATTGTGCTAAAAAAAAAAAAGGGGCATGGTTGGCCCATTGGCCATTCAAATACAGCCTCATATAGTAGTTATCTTTGGAAAAGAAAAAAAAAAAAAAGACAAAGGGTGGTGCAATCACATAGATAACATGATGTAATATGAAAGGATAACAATCACTAGCAATCAACGAATTTCTTGCCTTCCCCTGCAGGGCAGTCATGGTCCTAATGACATTGACACCACAATTTTGTGCTAGAGTACGTGGAATAGCCTCGAACGCTAATGCAGCAGCTTCATAAGGCCACTGTTTCACAGCCAAATAAAAAATTAGACATCAGCTAAGTCCCAAGTCTATGAAAAATTCAATCAACCAAATAAGTACAACTGGTTAAAATACAGGCAAAGTTGAGACATAAAAGGAAGTGAAATTTACCTTTTCAATGCCTTCAATGGATGAGCTCTTTTGCTTCAATGTAGCAGATACAGTTAACTCTGTAGCACCACCACCAGGGAGAAGTTTTGGATTCTTTATGATGTTCCTAGCAACAGACATGGCATCCTGTCAACAGAAATGATGCTTCAGACCATATATTCCTGATATGTAAAAAACTTGTAAGTACTACCTCACGTGTACCTGCAAGTTGCATTCGACTTCATTCAAAAGATCCTTGCTAGCACCTCGCAAAAGAACAGTGCATGCTTTAGGATCTCTGCACTCAACAATAAATGTAAAGAACTCATCTCCAATCTTCTTGACCTCAAAAAGCCCAGCCCCAGTTCCTACATCTGATTCTTGAAGCTCATCTGGTCTGTTGACAATGACAGCCCCACATGCCTTGGCAATTCTATTGTTGTCTGGTTTTCTCAATCTCCTGATTGCACTGACTCCAGCTTTACTAAAGAAATGGCATGCCAGATCACTAAGCCCTTTTTCTGTTATGACCAAGTCGGGTTTGAACTTCAATATTTGCACACAGAGATTCTCAATGTATTCTTCCTCCATTTTAAGTAGGACTCCCCAGTCCTCTTCTCTGACCAACTCTGCGTTTGTCTGACTCTCCCCTTTTTTGTATTCGAGAGGGCAATCAAGTAGAATAACACGGGGATTGACAATTTTTCTCCTCATTTTGCCAGGGGAAACAACATCTTTGTTGATCATAATTCCTTTGAGAACCTTGGAATCCTCCAACTGGCCGCCAGGGACTTTCTCAACCCTTATGTACTTCTTAATGTCCACTTCTCGTATACCTTGGCCAAGATCAACACCAACTGTTGTGGTTGCATCAAGTGCTAAATCCTAGCGGTCGACCAAGGAGAACCAGTAAAATTTAAATTGAAAATTACACCATCAGACCAAAATTCATGAAGAAACTAGAACAACAAATGAAAAAGATAGGATGTTGGGGGAAACAAAGAGCCATTTACCCGGAAAAAAGAAAAAAAAGGAAACAAAAATCCAGCAAGCCATATTCTTATTTAAATGGGCTTCCAACCACTTAAAACTTGAAGATAGACAATCAGCAGGAATAAGTTGCAAAACATAGTATTATTTAAATACACGTCTTAAATAAAGAAATGCCAACCAAATTGAATTTTTTCGTTAAACACAAAAAAAAAATGCATTTTTCAACGTCCATTAGAATAGGCACATTGAAACTTTGGAATCAAATATAAAGAACATGCTTACAGCAATCAGATCACCAAATTGGCCAGTAAATTTGGTGCCTATACAGCTCTTCACTAACCCCAACATTGTGATACCTGCCCAAAGAAGTCTGGTATTATTTCCAATTAATTCAGCAAAACTGAGAACCAAACAAGTTAAATAAGGATTTCTCCAATCATTATCACAGTTGCTCATCCATGGAGAACATTAATTTAGTTTCTTCTCCATCATCTGAAAATTCTTCATTTTTGACATTTCTTATTTGTTATTGAAATCAACATACCTTCCTTTTCTTCAGTTAACAAAGTGGGACACATAAAATAATTAGGTTTCTTTCATATCAAGAGTTTATTCTCTACTACCATTTGACTTCAGAAAGTAAAGTAACATTGTTAGTTAAAAATCAATCATATAGAAAATTTTCTAAGAGAACAGTCCACAGAAATACATATCATTCACACGTGTGAAGGATTTAACAGTCAAATGACAAGGGCACCCCCAGAGCTTACGATCATTAACATCAATGGTCATAGCAATCTTGTCAAGCACTGCGATAGCATCCTCAAGAGCCTTATTGTAAGCTGCAAAAGCCGAATATACTCATCAAAAGGTATTTTCTATTTACTAGTTACATTTAGTAGCTTCCCAGGATATTACCTCGGCAAATCACTGTAGGATGATACTTCTTGTCAATGAAAGCTTCAGCAACATGAAGCATCTCACCAGCTTGAACAAATTTTCAAATAAGAAATCAGTAATGAGTTGAAAGATACCATCATTTGTATAGAATACCAAATGAACAATGTAACACCCCACTCTAACAATGGGTAAACCTTTTCGTAAAAATTTATTTTCACAAGGGACTATGAAATAGTAATACCTAATTTCATTCCTCAGATGAAAGGGCTAAATCGTTATACTTCTTGGAAAACCTCTCCAAATCTCTTCACATTTAAGGTGCTAGGTATGTTGCCTAGAGATGTGTTCCAGCTATCACTTTATTCCTATTCTCTCTGTACTCTTCAAATTGAAAAAATTCTGGAGAAGGAAAGAATTTTGGAAGTTAATTTTCTCTTCTCTTCCCTTCTACGCTCGTATCCTCTCTCTAACCAGAGTGTGCAAGCACATGCATACTCAAGAACCATGATCATCACAGCTGTACTCTACTTGCTATTGTATGCACTTCCTGATAGGATCATTCTCTTAGACTAGTTTAAATCTTCATATCTCTTCCATATATAAATGAATTAAGAGCCTATCACACAAAATATCGTCAAATTCATCTCAAATGCATGGCTCACTAATTTAAAATGTAAACTCAGACGTAACTTGCTAGCACATTGCTGAAAATGGAAAACACGTTCGTTACAGGTAAGGTCATACCAAGAACAATGACTGAAGTTGTTCCATCACCAACTTCTTCATCTTGTGTTCGGCTTAATTCAATCATCGACTGTCATTACAAATTGAAAACCAAGTATTAGAAAACATTGTTAGTTTAAGCACCTAAATACCGAAAAGTCAGATTACATATTGAAGACAAAATACAGTTGAAAGCTTCAGTAAAATTTACACAAAACCAGGGGGCAGAAAGATATGACTACATGTTATACTATAGTAAATGGATTAAAGAAAGTAGCACATATAAATAAAGAATAGCGGCCCACCAAATCCACATTAACAGAGAAAATATGCAAATCATACCTTCGCAGCTGGGTGAGCCAAATCTAATTCACGTAGAATGGCATTCCCATCATTTGTGACCACAATTCCTGCAAACAATCAAATAAATTCCTTAGAAAAATGGAAAAAAAAAACCAATAAGTTAGAATAAGGGAAAGCTTACCACCTATAGAGGAGATAAAGTCATACATGGAAGTGTTACTTACATAATATACATGGAAGAAAATATATGCAAATGAATTTCACTAAAGGATGCCTCCAATCTACAGATAAGCATGATTTACATAGCCCACCCACCATGTATCTATCTATACCCATTTACATGTCCCCAAAAAATCCAACCAATAATCAAAACAAGGAATTGATTATGTACTCCCAAAAAAAATATATGACATAATGCTTTTCAGTTTACATAATGGTGTCTCTACATCAAGCAATTATAGCACATGTCCTATATAATTCATCAAGTTTGTTTCAAGTCATAATGAATGAACAGCGAATCTTAGTGTATCATACAATAGAATTAAATAAGCACCTCCTGTAGCAGTAAGAAGCATCTTTAACATAGATCTTGGACCCAACGTAGTCCGAATTATGTCAGCCACCGCCTGTAAAGAAATAAGAAAAGGGGGAAATTGAATTGATTTTGCAGGGTTGTTTTATTTTGCTATTTTTCCTTCTGAATACCACAGGTTGATTAAAATTCTTATGTTTTGAGTTAATTGTGACCGGCATAATTTGTTTTCAACTTAAACNTAAGAAAAGGGGGAAATTGAATTGATTTTGCAGGGTTGTTTTATTTTGCTATTTTTCGTTCTGAATACCACAGGTTGATTAAAATTCTTATGTTTTGAGTTAATTGTGACTGACATAATTTGTTTTCAACTTAAAAACTAAACTGAAGTATGGTAGATGAATTTAACCTTAAAATTAAGGTTTGGGGTAATATTGCTAAGTAAGTGTAATTTTGCACTTTTAAAATATTATCACCAAACACATTTTCATATCTAAATATGTTTTTCTTTTTAATTAAAAGGCTCTTTTAAAATAAATCTTCACCAAACGGTTGGTACCGTTTAAAAGTCCATTCTAGAAAGTCTGATTTTTAAAGTCCATTCTTGAGAATAACTTTTATTTTGAGAAGTTATGTCAAACACAATCTTGAATTCTTGACGCTTATATCATAATTGTGCAACCTCACTTTTACAATTATTACTGATTAATTTTCACATTATAAGAATATTGCATAATAATTTTATCATTTAATCTATATCTATACTACTTATAAATGTCAGCATTTGTGAAAAAATTTTGATTTCCTGNATCTTGAATTCTTGACGCTTATATCATAATTGTGCAACCTCACTTTTACAATTATTATTGATTAATTTTCACATTATAAGAATATTGCATAATAATTTTATCATTTAATTTATATCTATACTACTTATAAAAGTCAGCATTTGTGAAAATTTTTTGATTTCCTANCTCACTTTTACAATTATTACTGATTAATTTTCACATTATAAGAATATTGCATAATAATTTTATCATTTAATCTATATCTATACTACTTATAAATGTCAGCATTTGTGAAAAAATTTTGATTTCCTGTTTTATCCCTAATTATTATAATAAAGTCAATTATACTCACCTATATACTTTTATTTAATTATGTTTTATACACATATTTGACTTTCAATTTGTTTTGGACTATTTTAGAAGGACTTCTAAATTCTTTTGAACTTATTTATTAATAGTATAATTACATACAATTATATATATATATATANATTATGTTTTATACACATATTTGACTTTCAATTTGTTTTGGACTATTTTAGAAGGACTTCTAAATTCTTTTGAACTTATTTATTAATAGTATAATTACTTACAATTATATATATATATATATAAGTAAATTCATAGGCGGAGGGAGGCATGAGCCGGGGTGAGCAAGTGCCCCTCTCAAAAAAAAAAAATTTATTAGTTAGGTATATATATTTTATATTTGTATAATATATTATTTGTGTTCACCCAAAACCAAAGATAAAAATGTTAGGCCCAAATTATCTACCCAAAATAATTAAAAAAAATTAAGCCCATTTAAAATAAAAAAATTGGAGTCCACCACTATCAACCCAAATNCCAAAACCAAAGATAAAAATGTTAGGCCCAAATTATCTACCCAAAATAATTAAAAAAATTAAGCCCATTTAAAATAAAAAAATTGGAGTCCACCACTATCAACCCAAATCTATTAAAACCTATTTGAGTCCAGATATGAGATTCACCTTTGAGGCTTGGATACTGGCATGGTGCACCTTGCGTCCAGATTCACGAGTCAGTGAATCCTCTGCACAATTTCATTAATACAAACCAATCAGCAAAACATAAATATTTCTAGTAGACTGCAGTGTCGNCATGGTGCACCTTGCGTCCAGATTCACGAGTCAGTGAATCCTCTGCACAATTTCATTCATACAAACCAATCAGCAAAACATAAATATTTCTAGTAGACTGCAGAGTCANGGTGCACCTTGCGTCCAGATTCACGAGTCAGTGAATCCTCTGCACAATTTCATTAATACAAACCAATCAGCAAAACATAAATATTTCTAGTAGACTGCAGTGTCGGTCAAAAATCTGAAACTTCTTTATACACGTTTACTTATTTTTGTGACCTCGCATTATCTCAAAATCTCATAATTCCATAGTGCCCCACCCCTAAATAAAATCATACAACAACTCTAAATCATATTCAGTTTTATGCGTCTTTTTTCAACACAAAACAACAAGTGAAGGACCAATATTGCCAGGATCGCGGGTCAATTTAGTACGTGATCTGGTATGCTATTTTGGGTTTTGGTTCACTTTGTCACTCTTTTCCAGATCCCTCTCATTATTATATCATGATATAGATAATTATAAATCCGAATGCACATAGTCAACTAATAGTTATTTTATATTATATATTTATTGTAAAAGTTTTAAAATGGATCATGATCCAATAAAACATACTGGTTATAGAAATAACCACTTCAGGCTATAATTTGGGATTAAGCCATTAAGGTTGTACTTTGTGATACTTGGATTGTAGGTCAATTTGAGAATTTGGATTGCAATTTTGACGATCTGGGTCCCGAACCCACAACGCTTTGGGTCAAGCAACCCCACTTCATAGGATGCTTGGGGTATTTACAATCCCGATATCTATAAGAAGATCAAAAATAGCTACAAACATCCCGACATTTTTTTTGATATACCAAACCAAATGGCAGTTCTAGAATTGCATCATCCATTGTATCTTCAAGTTCTCTTTTAGATTATGATTTCTCTTCTTGAATTGTCCGAAGTGTTTCTAAAAACCATCGGTGTTCAACAAGGGCACATCACCTTTTTAGAAGTGTCTTTGCTTCTTAAATTATGATTGTACTTCTCTATGACTCTTTGACTACAGTAAACTAAATGCAACATTGGAAACCATGCAAAATATAGCAAGGCTCCACTATTCAACACCCATTCATCCCATCAAGAAAGCCAATCATGCATTATGATTATCCAGTTATCCACGTTGAGTGTCAAAGTCATCCAACAGCATCATGACTAATGGAGAGATGAAAACAGGTAAACTTGATTACCTCCTGTCAACAGTTTGTTGAATCCTAGTTTCTAAAACCTTCATTTAGATAATCTCTTCTTCATGTTTCCAAAAACCCAACTGAACATGCTCACCTCTTCATCTCATTCCCACACATGTCATCTGCATGTTGTTTCTTAACAGGATTGCATTCTTTTTCACAACATATAATTTATTTTACTAAATATGCAACGGAATTATCCTTTTTCAAGTGATCCAATAATTGTTTATCAAACAACACTCTGGGAAACATGTCTCCACATCATTATTCATGCCCTCATTAGGCACCCACATATTTATCTCACCCTTTTTTAATCATAAACAAGAAAAGAAAGCGGACAGTCTCATATTGTCACTTGGACATTCATCTTCACATTCAATCAGTTGGAGAACTGATATTACTTAATCACGATCTGAAATACTTTCTATTACATTGGCAAGTCTTATACGTATTAAAGTTGATTCATCTCTCATTTCCTAGACCACCAATGTAAGACCCATAGCTGCAACCTTGCGTAAACATGGATCTCTTTCTAGTTACCGGTTCACAACCAGTGAAATACAAGCAAGTTGGTGCCTTTTTTTTGGGTGTGAGTGGGATGATTGGAGAGAGAAACACTCTTGAAATAATGTTCTGTCAACAAAAATATTGAACATGAACAAAATTTTCCTTGTTCCTAGGAAAAAAGGGCATAATGTCTAATTACTAATATCCCTTTCGATTTCCATGAATCATAAAGAATCAAAGCAAATAATTAAACCATTGTATTAACCACAAGCAAGATAAATATACAATCATTGGTTCATATGAACTCTCGAAATCAAACACCAACACTTACAAATTGGCATCCTAGTCTTCCAACCTCACTCTAATCCGAAAATATCAGCTAAATTGTTTGAGACTGCCTCTGAAGAGCATCTTCTTATCACTTGTTTACACTTGTAACCTTTCCAATTTCCACTTTCCATATTTGACTTACTTTTTTCTGTTTCCACCCACCATATAAATAAAACTTAAGAATTATTCTTGTACTAGTGCCACTGAATAAGATCTCAAACCTAAAGAGGCCATTTGAAGATTAAATGACGTCCACCACGAAAATTGTAGAAGTTTCATAAAATAGGATAGCATAGTGCGACACATACGATATTCCTTATCATGAAGGACATTAAGGAACCCCTTTCATTTAGAAACACAATAGTTAGCTCACTATGATGTAGGCTAGGGCTAGTGACTTACATCAGCTAGATGAATCCTCTATTTGCCACCCCCACTCCCTTCTAAACAATGTGTGATGCTAAAATAGGCACCATTCAACTTAAATTCTAATAATTCCCTTCTTGGCCTCTTTAATGTTGTCCTTTGGTTTCCAATGCACACCAAATTAATTAGTACCTCCAACTTCCCTCCAGTCATTTCATTCACGCACCTATACTTTCTTGTTTTGCCAGTCAACAATCTAAATATCCACATTTCAATTCTTCCATCTAATAAATGCATACTCCTGTAGCTACTAAATTATAAACACAACACAATTTTCTATTTATTTCATGCCTTATGCCATTGTAACCAAAAAAATTCTACTCTTGAGTCTTGATCATTACGAACTTCGCTATATTCTCATTCTCTCTTCGTCCACATATTGCTATGCTCCTAATCTCCAAAAAAATCACTAGTTTTAGACTCAAGTCTAGAAATTGGAACTGGATCAAGATTAGCACAAATTCTGAACTATGTTTACCAACTCCAACATCAAGGCACCAAGTCCATGCAGCATGAGCATGAACATATATCATAAAAATATGAGTATACACTGTCCATATATAAACAAATACTCATATATACAGATACATTCACACATACAATGTGTGGGGACGCCCATACAAAATCAAGAGATAGATCTCATGGTGAAAGTTGAAATTTACAGCTCTCCCAATAAAGGGTTTCAGGGTATGCTGTTAAAAGTAGTAGGTATGTTGAATTTTAGTCCAACATTTATAGGTTCAAAATCGTTGTATTTTATAAAACTTCCCCCAAATGAGAATTGAAACCAAATTTCCAACACAATGAACAAAATTTTTCCAACATTTTCAACCCACCAATCTTCATCGCGCATAATTTCCAACACCTCTATCAGATCAGAACACAAATTGCTCACGCAAAATAAACGATTCACTCAACAGTGTGAAGAAAGCTAAAGACACCAGAAAAAAAAAAAAAAAAATTAGTTGCACTTACTGAGAACGAGTACTGGTGCGTGCATGATTGGAGTGACTGCAAACCTAAGGAATACGAGTGGTAGTTGAAATAACGAGGATTTGATTTCGAACTGAGATCGTTTTGTGAGGGAAAATGAAGAACTAAAAAGATAGTTCTCTGGTTGGACGAAGTGGGAGGGTGGTGAAAAAACCCTAGAATGTTCCTTTTAACACTACACAGTACACGGGCGCAACTCCTTTGGGGCCGGTTTGTTTCGAGGATCAGAGTAGTATAAGGACGCAGTGTTAGAGAAATAGATTCTTTAATATTTTATATTTAGTACTATTTTTCGGCTCAGTAATACCAACACGTTATCAACAGGAGTATGTGTTGTTGATCGTCTTGATGAATATCACCTATATAATGATATTATATGCTCGGTACAAATAAAATAGAGGTATAATAAAATAAAAAGACTCAACTGTCCTCGTATACAATTGTCTTTTTAAGATTATAATTATTTTTTTATGGGTCATACCCGTAATTGTTGACTTTTTTAAGTATGTATTACATAAATAATATTTGTGACAAACAAACAAAGGGAATGATAGGTTTATAATTTAAGATCGAATATAATATACCATTAAATTAGAATGAAATGAATATAAAATTTTATACCACTTAAATCTTATACTCAAAACAAACAACCCTTTGTGTCGATGAAAAACAGTAGATTCCTAAAATGAAAAGCCTTTATTTGCACTCTTCCATCAAAATACTAACCGGGCATGTTAAAGTGTTGGCAAAAATTACATCTAGACCCTTTAAAATTTATATTTAATTACTTAGACTCTTTAAAATTTATCACTTATTTTTAATTTTATTTTAATAAATAATATAATAAAATATAAATTTTAGTTGTATAGTTTAAAATATTTGATATTCTATCTTTGAATAAAATATTTTTTAATCTAAATATAATATTTTAAACTTGAGAAGTATAAGTATTATATATTTATAAATTTTAAAGATGTAATTTACTAAGTATAAAAGGATTTGTATATAATATTTTAGATATCACGTCACAACCATTAAGTGACAAACTTAGATCGGAGTATAATTCTCCCTAAAACAGTTTATACTTCCTATTGCAAAACATTTTTTTAAATACTGTATTGTTTAATCTGATCACAAAATAACACGGGAAAAAATTATTTATTATTTTACTTAAATTTTTAATTTCAAAATCAAATAAATTTAAATAACTCAAATTAAAATTTATAAATAAAAAATCTTTTTAACATATGGTACTGAATTTTTTTTAATATAATATCGAAAAGATTTATATGCCAAGTTATGTTTGAATTGTTTATTTCGGGTTCATGTTTTATAATAGTCAACTTTAATCTAATTTATTTTATTAATTATATAATATGTCATGGCACTCGTCTGATTGACATATTTATTATTAAATTATGTTCAGGTTAACCTATTTAACTTCCAACTAAGCATTTACTGTATATATATCAACCAAACAATCTCATAATTTTTTCATTGACTGAAAATTTGATAAACCCACCTAATAATAAAAAATATGTAAACAATTATTTCATACAATAAAGTTAAATGTGTTAATCGTGTCAATTTTATAGTATTTTTGTCTAACGCAAACAATTCCCGTTTATTATTCGTGTTGGCATTCATATATATTTTTTAATTTGTGTCAAAAAATAATAAACATTAACCTGCGAACTTTGTATCAAGTTTGAGTTATTTTATCGTATGGTATAAAAAATTATCACCCTAAATGTTATTGTAGTTCATATTGTGTTTTATGTTATAGATGCCAAC